ATATTTATTTATATACTTTAAGTTAGTTATTAAACTATCTAGCTTTTTAATTAAAAGTAAGATTTTAAGTAATTATATAGGTAATAAGTATTTTACCTTTATATATTTATTAGTATCCTTTACCTTTATAGCCTAGAGGCTAAAGCCTCTTTTGAAACCTTAACCTTACTGCGGTTACTTTACACTCCTGAACAATTCTCTTTAGCTCGGGAAGTGAATACGGGAGTGACGTGGGAAGGGCCATGCAGAAGCCCTTATTGACGTATGAAATAAATGCGAGTGTGTTCGCGACGTGACAAAAGCTTCCACTAGATAGTTGTGTTAGTCGATGCTGACTTTGATAGTTTGCTCGCTTACTTAGCCACAACAGTCTCCTGGTATTCAGCTCCTGGGCCTCGGAATGTAAAGTACTGAGCTTTATGAATGTTGCAATCCAGCCACCGCGTTGTTGCAGGAACCAGCTTCGGTTTTCCAGACGTAGATCCAGAAGAGTGCAGAATAAAAACAATCTCCTCACCCGACGTGGGGCTAACAACTTCAGCCAGCGGGGACTCTTCAACCGCCAGACCGAGCAAATCAACGGTAGGAAATGTGAAAACATCTTTACCCACAGACACAGCAATCGCCGGATCATGGATAAGACCCGTTGCCTTAGCTTCGCTGAGGAGCTCTCTGACCACGGCATTGGTTGTCAAGTGAGCTGAAATAAGCTGAGGAACGCATCCAGCTCTGGATATGCCCCATATATGCAGGAGATCCAGGTAGGTAATTCCCCTCAGCCTCAAAGCAGGTCAGTGACAGTGTCTGGCCTTTCGAAAATTTCTTACTTACCATAGCCCGATGACTGATCCGGTGTCAATTCCCTTTTCCGAAAGCTCACGAGACCAATACTTGGCGGATTTCTCAACGTCATGCAAAAGCTGCGAGTAGGTGATATCCTTCCACCCTTGGAGCTCACCATCTGATGAAAGCTGTGGTATCTTGAGAGCCGGGAGCAATGGAGTGGCCTCAGCTGTTTTCTGTAGTACTGTGAGATGGGTCTTATAGCCAGCCATTTTTAAAGCTCCAACAACAGATAGAGATCCAGTGAACAAAATATAGATAGTGTAGTCCGATTTAGTATAAGCGGTATATGTAGTTTAGTTGATAGTCGAAAAGCATTAGGAAAGGAGGCTCTCTGGGATTTTGTTTAGGCACTATTATACTGTTTCGCTGCCCAGGGTTCACGGACCCGGCTTTTATAACTGAGCCTCCGAGATACGAGTAAATAAGGACTCCGTAACCTCCGTAACCGCGTATAAGCATGTCATGGACGGTTTCATGAAAAGCGTAATGTGGGTCGCTTGTGTTGCTCTTGAATCGAAAATGGTTAAGATCTGCATTCAAAACCCTCCGGCTACGATGAAGTTGTATTGATATGCAACTGCCGAATGGAGTTAACTTTCACGGCTTGGCTGCCTGTAGCGCGAGCACTGTGCTTTTATTCATCTCTGTGGGATCCCCAAGTCGATGAACTTAGGTGAGTTAGGACAGAATGTGGTCTTGCCCTCGGAAGAATATTGTCTGATGAATTAAGCACACTTGTGAACTAGATGAACCTTTTAGTGCGGCGGTTAACCTTACTTTAGTTGGGATTTAACTATACTCGCGTGTTCAGCAATTCCGAGCCGGTAACCCTACGGTAACATGGCCTCATCCCACCACTTTAAACTCTATAAGCTTACAAACCTATATATCACGGGTTTTCGGTAATTCCGGCTAAAGAGTGAATGACACAACATTGATATATCTGCATCTCCGGCGTTTCCGCCAAGTTGGATTGTCAAAGAGTATGCAACCTATCCCAGACTACCGTCACGATGCGTTAGCCTGCATTGCGAGGCATGATACCTGGAAGCCACCAACTCGTGTAGGTCTCAATAGCGACATCATCAGTAATTTATGTGTGCAATTAGTACAAGGCCGCTTTACACCACGTCTGAATCTCTATGACGTATGGAGCACCAAGCAAAGATCACATCGTCTTCCTTCGGCCAAAAGCTGAACAGCATAATGATGAAGAAGGCCTCGGTGATTCATTGAGACTTCTCCTCGCGAACCAGTCATTGCAACTAGTCCATCTAACAAAGAGCTGAGTTTCACCAGGATGAGATTAATAACCTCCTAAGCGCGGTTTCTGGTACGGCCCTTCGGAATGCTGGTAGATACTATGCCTCTCGTTATGGTAACGTCACTTAATGGGCAGGATTATCAGTCCTGAGAATGCCACTTAGCATGTCGCTGTTGTAGCAGCTGACGCCTATGAGTAGTAATGCAGCTATTACACATGACGTTGATGACTACAGTTACTTACGAAGTAGTGTATACGTTATATCTTATGGTGTTGACAGTGAGGCATAAGAAATAACACATAGTCAGTTGCTGATCTGTCAGGGAGGTAGTGATAAGTCAAGCTACTATAACATCAATACTTTATTCCGGTGGCATGTATTTATCACAAACTACAGCCTGTATCTAAATGATTTATTTTCCCGATCCGTCAAATCCTCCAAGCCGTGACTGTGGTTTGGAGAACCATAAGCCGTATCGCGGTGCTTGTTCTCCCGATCAAGTAGCCATCGGAGTGCAAGGGCAGCAAAGACACAGACCGTAAAGCAGATCATGATGCCTGTAAATGATTCGTCATAACGAGGCGCAAATTTCCTATAGTAATCAGCATCAACGCGGTTACACGTATGCATAACGGTCATTCACTTACGTGTCAAACATAAGAGGACCGATGATGTTTCCAAGACAATATCCGATAAAGGTCGAAGCAGCATAGACAGCCTTCTTAGTGTGTCCTGCAACATTGGAAGTCCCCAAGCCGATGCATTGAACCCAGGCAGAGGAAAAGAAGTTGACAAGATAGAAGCCAATGATACGTCCTGCTTTGTTAGAGTCGGGAAGTTGCCATATTAAGGAACAACCCAGAATAACAGGAAGACATGCTCCGGCAATGATATACAACCTTGAATTGGGGACCTTTCTGCCAATATAGCCTGAACCGAGAATACAGATGAAGGCGAGGGCTCCAATCGGGAGGTTGAGCAACAGTGAAGTAAAAACGTCAAATCCCATATCTTTGAACACAATAGTTCCAAAAGTCGTGACAGCACCGGAGCCTGTGCACGACACAATAGATAGAATCATAATCCCCCAAAGCCGATAGTCAAACAAGGCCTCCCGGAACTGGTAGGACTTCAAGTGCTTATCCTCAGTTCCAGCATTATTTTCTCGCACTCTCTCTAGGAGAAGATGGCGCTCGGCTTCTGTAAAGCCCTTGGCATGCTGGGGACTATCGGGAAACAGCCACCAGAGGGCAATACCCCAGGCCAGAGTAGCGAGTCCGGCGATGAGGTACATCCACTGCCAGGAGTTGAGAGCGCCTCCCTTGATATGGCCAAGTCCGTAATTGATCAAGGGCGAGACAAGCAGGGACCCTCCGCTGCAGGAGTACCACCAACTAGATCTCGAGACCTGCTCCGAGTGGGTATACCAGAGGCCCACAACGAGCATGAAGATGGGCGATACACCTGCCTCAACGAGACCGAGCATAAAGCGGTTGATGAGAAGTCCGGTATAGGAAGTACACGCCGGTGTGCAAAGTATGACAAAAGACCATATAATGCAGATAGCCGTGCAGACGATTCGAATTGGGTATCGCTGGGCGAGGAATGAGGCGGGATAAGTACCGGCGATGTATCCAAAGTAGAAGATAAGAGAAACCCAGGAGTACCTGATGCCAGTGGTGAGTTTCAGGTCCTCTCGTAAGCCGAAGATGGCGGCTTGGCTGAGGATGGCCTTGTCGTAGTATTGCAGCGCGTAAGTGAAGCAGAGCTTTTAGAGTCAATTTTAGATCAGACAATCAGGTCAAGGTGGCTTACGACAGGCATCAGTTTGCGATCAATCTTTCGAAGCAACTTTCTGTTGGTCTCTTCATCAAGCTCGACGCTGGCTCCAATGGCTGAACTTGGAACGGTTTCGAGATTGATGGCAGAAACTTTGCTGTGAATGCTGGCCTTGGAGCTTGCTTTGTCCTCTTGGCGTGTCATGGTTGTGATCGAAGGTGGCATAGATAATAGATGATATCAGAGGTTGAAACAGACTATGGAAGCAACAAGGACGAAAGATGGACCTTGCCGCAATGGTTGTCTGGGTAAGCTGAGCAGAATGGACTGATATTGCAGGTTTATATAATTGATGGCAGTTGCCTTGAATGCACCAACCCCAGATAATGTACCCCAGATTCGACCACTTCAACTGAACATGGACCTGCAGTGCACTACCCCACACTACAATAAGCCCACCACAGAGCAGGTCAAATCACACCAATCACGCACGGTAATGTCACAGCGCGTATCCGCAGACTCCATAAATATCCGAGCCGGTCGGATATTGAACTCGCTAGTCTGCTCTGGGAATATCCGAATCCGCGATTTGCCTCGGCCACGGTTTCCCCAATGCACTCATCCCCGATTTTAAGCAATGGAGTGAAACTTCATCTGGCTATTGCCATCGGAAGCGCGTAAGAAACAGACCCTCCTACTTGCCCTATTGAGATCATCCTACTATTAAACTTTTAAGGATTAGCAATACACCATCCTTTTACATTGCATTCACATACAAAAATATTCCAAGATGGTACTCTCATCATCTGTTTTGTCGAGTTTATCCCGGCCGCCATTATTAGCTCTTTCAAGGCGATTTTCTCACTGCCGTCAGCCTCTTTCGCTCGTAAGATATGTTTCTTCCAATTCGGGTTCCAGTCGGCAGAGACATTATCCTCTAGGGTACTTTCTGCTGGGACTAGGAGTCGCAGTGAGCGGCATGGCTCTCGCACCGTCTATAGGCATTGATCTACTGCGAGTGTCAACAGAGGGCACCACTCCTAGGTGGAGAGAAAGCAGCAGTTCACTCATTCCGGCGAAACCGGCATATGCGGATAGAGCAACTATGTTAAAGGTATGCCGACTCGGCGGTCACCAAGCACGGGTTGCTGACCATTTAGGCTGTTGACGAGATACGCCAATTACTCGGTCAAGATATCGTGAGCGTAGACTCGGATGATCTCGATGAGCATGGCTATTCAGAGTGGTCTACGTCAAATACTGACGTACGACCAGTGGCAGTTGTTCGGCCGCAGAAGACAGAAGAAGTCTCGAGCATTGCACGTATCTGCACCAAGTATAAAGTTCCCATGATTCCATACGGAGCTGGATCCAGCGTCGAAGGCAATTTCAGTTCACCGTATTCTGGAGTATGTCTTGACCTATCTGGCATGGATAAAATCGTGGCATTTCACCCTGAAGACATGGATATCGTGGTCCAGGCCGGTGTCAATTGGACTAATATGAACGAAGAGATCAAGGAGACCGGTCTCTTCTTGCCGCTTGATCCCAGCCCTACTGCATTGATCGGTGGCATGATAGCCACGAACTGCAGTGGTACAAACGCCATGAGATATGGGACTATGAAAGATTATGTTATTAACCTTACAGTAGTGCTCTCCGATGGATCTGTTATCAAAACCCGTCATCGACCTCGGAAAACATCAGCCGGATATAACCTCACAGGTCTTTTCACTGGATCTGAGGGGACATTGGGTATAATCACTGAAGCGACGTTGAAGCTGGCCATAATTCCGGAGAACTTCTCTGTTGCAACAGCCACCTTCTCAACCGTTAAGGAGGCGGCAGATGCGGCCTTCAAAATGATGCGCCGGGGAATACCTCTCGCTGCCCTGGAAATGATGGACGATGTTCAGATGAAGGTCATCAACCAGAGCGGCGGGGCAGGTGGAAGAGTATGGGATGAACATCCGACACTTTTCCTCAAGTAAGTAGTACGCGGCTATGAATACGCCCAAATACTCAGCAATATGCAGGTTTTCAGGCTCCCAGAATGCGGTTCAAGACAGCATCACACTGGCCAAAGAGATCGCAAAGTCCAACAGTTGTCGTTCCTTCGAGTTTGCCAAAACTGAGGATGAGATGCAATCTCTTTGGTCTGCCAGAAAACAAGCTTTGTGGGCAAACCTCGCCGTCCGACCAGAGGGCACCCAGATTTGGTCTACAGATGTTGCTGTACCTCTGTCTCGAATGGCCGAACTAATCGGTGAGCAGCATGAACCTCTCCAACATTGGCATGAGCTAACAAGATAACTACAGAAATATCGAAGCAAAAGGCCAGTCAACTAGGGCTTTTCAACAGTGTTCTGGGGCATGTTGGCGATGGTAACTTTCATCAGGTTGTCATGTACAACCCAAATGATAAGACGGAACGCCAAGCTGTGTCGGATTGCGTGGATGGAATGATGGTGAGGGCACTAGAAATGGAGGGTACAGTATCAGGCGAGCACGGCATCGGATTGGGAAAGAAGGTAATCATGTTCCTATCTCGAAATGTTTCGCTCCAGCTAACAGACTTAAGCATTGCCTACAGAAAGAGCTCGGTCCAGCCACGATAGGTATCATGAAAGCTATCAAAGACACCTTGGATCCCCAGTAAGTACACCATAAAGACAGTCGTATGATCAACGATGACTATTTGCTAAGTCTGCCGTTTAGTTGGTTATTGAATCCGGGCAAGGTATTTGACTCGTGAAAAGAGAATATTTTCTATTCCCGAACCCTTCATCCACTGGATTTTCTCATGACCTGGTTGCTGGAAAATTGGGGATATGCATCTTGGTTGGCAGACACAGGATATAAGTACCTAGAGACTATATATATGCACTTATGGAGAGACTTTTGTTCAAATCTTAATTGGCCGAATTGTCCCAAGGCTTGATTCGCTTGTATTACAGAAGTGCATCCTTATGATGATGGAGATAAGAAGGCAAGTATAATCCAGAGTGTTCCGTCATAAGTTGCGTGCCTAATCAGGCTAGTCCGGAGCGAGCGGCAGGGAACATCACAAGAGTGCGGGGTCAGAATCGATCAAACCGACTTGGGGTAAGCTTCCCCCGGATATTCAGAAAAAGCCGGAGCCAAGAATTGTATCCGAACATTGACGATGTTTCCCTGTCTACCGCTAGCCGAACTCCGAAGCATTCGTCCAACTGTTCTAAACGGCAGTCAGTCACGCCCTCTTTACGGTGCGGAACGCTGTAGTAATAATGCTCGGATAACCCAAAGATGACAGATCACACCGGCAACAACGGCTGGCAGGGCCTGCAGCTTGGCTTCGTCCCCATTAACCAAGCAGACTCGCCTCCTGAATCTAAAAGGCGACGGGCGTACTTGTCTTGCGAACGATGTCGTAAGCGCAAGACTCGTTGCGAGCCAGCGTCAGACCAAAAGCAGCCGTGTAAGCGATGCTCAGCCGACAATCAACTTTGTGAATTCAGAGCGTCGCGACGCACCAAACGAAGATTGTCGCTTCCAGCTGAAAACACCGAGCCAGTTTCGCGTCACAGCAACACGGTCACCGATGTCGGCATCCCTTCTTTGACACCACTTTCGTCTCAAGATATCCCAGTTCGCCCCAATGAAAGAGAATACGTAGATGACATGCCCGTCACCGACAGTTCCCAAGGTCCAAGGTCGCCAACCGCACTCGACGCAAGAACACGAATTATTTCAACACATATAAGTAATGCATCGGATGCCCTCGACCTTCTGACCTTCGCTGCGAGCGGTACCCATGCTTACAACAACGCTTCTGCCTCGCCCAGCCGCGAAAGCCAAGTTCCATCTACTGCCTCCCCAGCCGGTATCACATATACAGCCCTCAGTCGAGACAGAGCATGGAAAGGCTTCTCCCTTATCAGGAAAGGAATCTTATCTCAACAAGAAGTGATGGACTACCTAGGTTTCTACTTTGATCAGTTATGGCCCCTCAAGCCAGTTATACCGTCTTGCTACCGCGATCGAGCCACAGATGGCCAGCTTGTTGCTGAGGAGCCTCTTTTGGTGGTCTGTCTCGTCACGCTCTCTTCGAGATACTTCCCACTGCCTGGAGATCACGGCGAGATTAGGTCAGAGCGTATACATTGGCAAGCGTGGAGGATCCTACAACGATCTCTTCAGTCCGTCATGTGGGGTTCTACGACGACGCGTTCTCTTGGAGCGGTAGCGTCGATGCTACTTCTGATTGACTGGCATGTGAAGGCGATCAATAACCCGTCTGACTTCACAGAAGGAGAGGAAGAAGCTTATGATCATCCCGATAGCCATGGTTTCAAGCTTTCGTCTAACAATACGGACTCACTCACCGGACAGCGACGGTACGGCATGGTATCGCTAATGGAAAGGTTGAATATTGTATCGCCTGCATATCGGAGCAATAAGATGTCTTGGTAAGAATCTTATCTGATTGGTGTATCCACCTTGATCTATTGTACTCACGACTCTAAAATAGGAGTCTTCTTTCCAACGCTATTGCTTTAGCACACGAAGGGTGTTGTTTCCAGAACGAATCCTCCAGCTCCAGGTTTTCTCCCTCCAACTTGGACTCTGTCCGCAAAGAGTGGAATGGCCTTCTCTGTGTGTTTATATACATCGCAGATGAAGGTCTCGCGACTCGCCTTGGTCTAGAGCCCTTGTTACCTGAAAAGTCGAGACAAATAGTCAAAGACCGATTCGCAACGACATTCACGGGGTCTTTACCCGACAGTCACCTCTGGGAAGGCTATTTTGAACTCTCGATAGAGACTCGAAAGGGAAGAGATTTCTTGCTCTCGTTAAAATCCCGAGATGGGCCTTTTTCCAACTTAGATCTCGTCCCTCATCTAGAACGCCTACGAAGGGGTCTGCATCGATGGAAACGGCAGTACTATAATCAGGATGGTGGGTTCAAATAACGAGGTAGCGCGTCCACGCTTACAATTCCCAGATATCAATTCGTTATTAAATGCATGTCTTCTTATTGAGTTCTACTATATAAGCTTGTTCTGCTTCGCTCCAGCAGCTCAAGCCGTGCAAACCGGTTCCACCTCCCTACCACAAGAGACACTTCAAGCCTTGTCTGAATTTGAGGATGAAGCAACACGGGCCAGCCACGCACTCCTATCTATAGTTGTGGATTTTCTGAAGCCTTCAGGGCTCATCAAATATCTTCCAGTTCGATGTTGGCTATTCATCGTTGCTGCAAGCCTCCATCTCCTCAAGGTATTTCACATGTTTAACCCCAAGATATTCCTGTAAACAGCTAATAAGCATAAAATACCAGGCAACTCTAACAAGGACCAAAGACGTAAGTCGGGCACATCCAAACATCCATCTTCTATACCGCGTTATCAATGCAGTCCACAATGGCTCCCCAGATGACTCGCATATGGCCATCCGATATGCCAAGTTTCTGGGCATTATGGTACAAATAGTTGTCCCTGCTGCGTCGAGTAGCTCCAATGTGGCATCAAGAACGAGACCTGGGGAGGAGGGTAATGGTGCTGACCAGGTGAGAGACGGATTAGGGGAAGTCGCCTATCCTTACACGTTTAATAATGTGGCAGTTGAGGGAATAAGTGATTGGAATGCTCTTCTTGACTTGGACTTGGCTCCAGATCTTTTTATGTGGTGGGAGTCTATGCATAGCTGACCTGGTTCTCCTTGAGATCCTTGTTCCAACCTGAGATTATGGTGAGCTGAGACTTGATCAATCGTCATTGCGGCAATATCTCAGATACTGTATTTGAAGAAATACATCCTGTTGGCATCTCAAAGTGAATAATGTGCCTACGGGAGGCGCCAAGAATAACATGATTATGATCTTATTAATGCTTGCAAACTATGGCTTTGTAGCACTAAAATTACCGGTGCCTATAATATCACCATCCTCCTCCTTACCGCTCTGTGCCCGGTCAATGCGGAACTGGCTTGTCTGGAACAAGCGAGGCAGTTTCGTCTCCTCGAATTGAGTCCCTTGCGCTACCATTTTAGCCAGCTCTTTGGCTGCCAACCAAATGACAGGCATACCGTGTCCATTAAACCCAGCTACGATGAACTGCCCATCCTTGCTGGGAACCTTACCGATGTGTGGGTTTGAGTCGTATGAATAACCCATCACGCCAGTCCAGATATTGCTCACTTTAGCACCAGTCTCCTCCCAGCCACGGTAGGTCTGCTGCATGTAGTCCTCATAGTAGTCCTTTGCAGAGTCGATAAGCACACTGTCGTCTACATTGTCATACCACTGTTCCTTAAATGGCCGGAACAGGGACGAAGCGCCGCCTACAATTATGCTGCCATCATGTCGAGGGATAAAGTATGAGAGTGTGTTATCCTTGGTGCGGTTTATGTAAGAGTTGTTCAATAGCGGCGCTGTAGTTCCCTCTGGGACAGTGATACGACAGCAAATGCCCTTACAGGGGATGATGTTCTTGCTGTACTCAGGAAGAAGCGCTGAGACATAGGCGTTGTTGGCATGAATCACCTTTCCTGCTCGCATCTTGCCACGAGGCGTCTCGACGATGAATGAACCGTCACCGGAGGGATCTGGCGTCACAGAAGTGACAGGTGTATGGGCCTGGACGTTGACGCCTGCGGCGATGAGTTTTCTTGTGAGGTGCATCAAGAATTTAAAGGGCCACATGGTCCCGGCGGTAAAGCTTGCGCATGCAACAGCGCCTTTAACACCGCAGATCTGTTGTACAGATGGCCCAGTTAGTACACATTTTCATCATGTCTTAAGGCCTTATAAAGCGATTTGGGCTGGTATTAGGGTCACTTACACCTTTGACTTTGTCGCCTGTGTAAAACACAACATCGTCCATATACTCAAAGTTATGAGACACCATTGATTGGTACACGGCTTCTGCTTTCTTAGCCGATTCCTCGTTGCACCAGACATCAATAGATCGGGTAAGAGTGAAGTCGCAATCGATCTTCTCTTCATCAATAATCTTCTTGATGGCGCGAAGATTCGCAATCTCAAACTCCGCAATCTCAGCACCAGCGCGCTCGCCAGCTCGATCTATGTAGGTAGGAATATGACCGTAGAGATCTGGCCTACAGTGTCCACCGTTACGACCAGTAGCTCCAGAGCAGATACCCCGGGCCTCAAGGATACAGATAGACTTGGCGCCAGCGTCTCGAACGAGGTGGTGCGCCGTGCTGAGGCCCGCGAATCCAGCGCCGATGATGACAATGTCGCTGTAGTCAAGGAGCTGCTCTGAAGAGCGGTGGTCACGTAGCTCGTTCAGATCCTGTGATAGGTCTTTCTGCCAGAAGCAAGGCGCTGGGTTCGGCCCGGGCATGCACTTGGGCGTACCGGCGGTGCGAGATGTGTTACCGTTCGAGATGGCCATGATTGCGCTATGATGTGATGAGAGTTTGCTTACAGGATCAAGTTCAGTATCTCAGGTATGTTATGTATAGAGGTTATCTGGAGGCATACACTGATTTAGTTTAGCTGAACGTTATTTGGAGGCTCGTGCTATCGAACTCGCTCGGATTTGTCAGATTGGTTTGTATACAGTTAGATAGACCGGCGTCGGGGTCCACCGGGCCGGCGTTACCCAATCTGGACAAATCGCTCCGGCTCCGGTGGACAATGCCGCTAACGCTATATCGCTCACCACGGTGGGAGTACCATAGCATCGAGAATTGCAGGGTCTTACACTTCCAAAGGGTCAGAAACAGCCAATCTGGTCTCATGATCTCATCGCGCTCTTCATATCTGCATAGCCGGTCGACCCCGGTCTGATCTGCAGCTATCGCCCTAGCCAGAACTTCCCCAGACTTGCCTAGGCTAGGGTTCTGGACGGCTGGGTCTAGCTACTGATAAGCCGTGGCCAATTGTGGCAGACATAAAAACGTTTTGTAATACGGGGAAACAAATAGTCGAGATCATCCACTCATCTCCTTTACCAGAGAGGCCATCTTCAGTCTGACTCAAGTTCCTATTCTCTGCTTTGGTTGCTTGTGCAACAATATCCTACTCAACCCCCTTTCCTGTCTTGGGCAGAAGCCAAATCTCAAATCACGACACTTCGCCCCAACTTCTCAAAGTCGACGCTATGCGTTCGGAAAAGAAACTCGATAGTCCTGTAGCCGATATGCGGCGCGACAGCGATGTCGAGAATATGGCTGGAACTGTCGTTGAGTCTCACGAGCTCAGGCAGGGTCTACATCAACGACATATCCAGATGATTGCTCTGGCAGGCACAATTGGCACCGGCTTGTTCCTGAGCTCTGGTCGAGCCATTGCCTATGCTGGTCCACTCGGTGCGTTCCTGGCGTACCTGATCATTGGCCTGGCCGTCTCGAGTGTCGTCTGCGGCGTTGGCGAGATGGGTGCTCTAGCGCCCCTTAGTGGTGGTGTTATTCGCTACGCCGAGCTCTTCTGCGACCCTGCTCTCGCCTTTGCCAACGGATGGAATCAAGTCTACTCTTACATGGTCTCCATCCCCGCCGAGATCGTTGCGGCGGCCGTCATTATCGAATACTGGGTCACCATCAACAGTGCCATCTGGATCACAGTGCTCGGCATCCCCATGATCGTCAGTTCGCTGCTAGCTGTGCGCATTTATGGCGAGCTCGAGTTCGGCTTCTCCATCATCAAGATCATGCTCATTGTTGGCGTCAACATCATGGCTTTGGTCATCACCTGCGGTGGCGGTCCAAACGGCGAGTCTATCGGTTTCGAGTACTGGAAGAGTCCCTACGGACCCATGGTTCAGTATCTCGGCATTGCTGGGTCTCTTGGTCGGTTCTTAGGCTTCTGGAAGACGCTGAACAATGCTCTCTACGCCTACTCGGGCATCGAGAACATCACACTGGCTGCGGCTGAGACGAGGGACCCTCGTCGGTCTATCCCCATGGCTGCCAAGCGTATCTTTATCCGTATCGGCCTCTTCTACGTCGTGACCATCTTCATGATTGGTTTGGTCGTCCCGTCCACCGACAAGAAGCTAGTACCATGGACGGGAGACGCGTCCATGTCGCCGTTCGTCATTGCTGCCCAAAACGCGGGTATCAAGGCTGTGCCATCCATCGTCAATGCTGTTGTGCTCACTTCGGCTTGGTCAGCAGGTAACTCCAACATGCTCGGCGGTTCCAGAATCCTGTACGGAATGGCAGCTCAAGGCCAAGCCCCGTCCATTTTCCTGCGCATCAACAGATTCGGTATCCCCTATGTCGCTGTTTCCCTCTATGGTCTCTTCATGGCCCTGGGATACATGACCTTGTCCGACTCGGCTAGCACGGTCTTCACCTGGCTGCAGGACCTTGTCTCCATCTCTACCCTGGTCAACTGGATCACCATCTGTATCGTCTATGTCCGCTTCGTCCACGCCTGCAACAAGCAAGGAATTGATCGCCAGAAGGAACTCCCTTGGGCCGCTCCTTTCCAGCCCTATACGACCTACGCCTCTCTTGTCTTGTTTGTCCTGCTTTTCTTCACTGGCGGCTTCACTACGTTTATCCATGGCGAATGGGAGATCGAGTCGTTCATTTCGAACTACTTCAATTTGCCCTTCACCCTGATCATGTATTTCGGTTATAAGCTCTGGTTCAAGACCAAGATTATTCCATTGGAAGACGTTCAACTTCGTCATTTGATTGATCGTTACGAGGGTGAGCCGAGGGTAGAGCCAAAGCCGAGGCGAGGGCTGGCGAAGCTGAACTTCCTGTGGTCTTGAACCTTTGGGAATGGCGGGAGTACGGAGTAGCTTTGTGGAAATTATGCTGTACTGGCTTGAGACATGTGGAGATCTGGTATGATCGAAAGCGGTGATCGCTTTGACGTAGTGTAGTTATTGTTTATTTATTCTTATCATGACGCGTCGATGACCTACCCTATACCTCGTAAGCTGCAATCTGTGATTCTTTGTATGAGCCTTCCAGTGCTAGTGTAATAGGTAGGGGATTCGTGAATTGAGTTCTTTTGACCATAATGGGGATATGGCCAGTATGACATAGCAGAAATCTATCGATGCGACAGAGAATGGTGCAGAGTGGCTAGACCTTCACTTGACCACTTTGTGGGGAAGTGGGACATGTGGGAATGCCGAGAGTGTGCTGCAGATTCTCGCGTGTCAGTCAGCCGGCTAATTACATACTTGGTAGCTTGGCTGCTTGAGCTTCCAGCCAACTACTCCGTACTCCGCATTGCATTACAAGCCTCTAATGTCTAAGCCAGCTGTGCCCCAGTGGGTCAGATTCTCAGAGACGGAATATGGAACTTCTTTTATTCCACCTGATAGCTTATTTCGCTCAATGTTTGTTGACTAGTCTCAAGGGTAGACATGAATTAAGAGACGCGTTCTCCGTAGATAAATGACCGGAACATCGGCAGCGCCCTCTTATCGCGTTAACATCAAGATACCGCTAGACTACTTTAATAGCCACTAGCATATCTCCGATCCGGAGCCACGAGAGTCAAGACCTAAATGTGGAACCCCCGCCTACGGCGATAATGATGGCTGATAGCGACGAGATGAAGTAGCCAATCATGTCTGACCGGTCCGGTCATACTACATCAGGCTAGATCAGAATGAATTGGTGATAACTGCCGGTGCGGTGGAGTACGGAGTACCAGTGTCACAGTCATCATTGGATAAAAGAGGCTATTTCATGTTGTTGTTGATGCTGCATCTCATCTCCTCTCGAGATAATTCATAATCGTCTACTACCCAACTTCAAGTCATCGCGACCTTCCTATCTGCATCTTATCTTGTTTCGCCAAACTCTATCCCCCCCTGTCCCCCCCTCTCTTTTTTCCGCGAGATCATCAAGTCTGCATCATGGCCAATCAAAAGCATGTCGTCTTCGACGTCGTCGGCACCTGCGTCTCTTTCGATGCCTTCTACAAAGGCATCGACCGTGTCATTGGCGAGAAGCTAGCCTCCAAGCAAATCACAGCCAATGCATTCGGCTACACTTGGATGACGGCAGCCGAGCTGGAGTTCACCTTTCTCTCCGTCTCTGAGCGCCACCGTCCCTACAAGGAAGTTTTGCGCACCTTGTTTTACCGCACGCTATTCATGACTGGCGTTGCAGAGCCAAGAAAACTCGTCACAGACGAAGAAAGGGATGCCTGTGTCCTGGCTTATTCGGACCTCGAGTTGCGACCGGGAGCTGCAGAGTGCTTCCAAATATTGAGAGATGCAGGCTTCACAGTGTGGTGTTTGACAACAGGCGATGTCAAGCGTGTGGGTGGATACTTTGAGCGCGCTGGCGTTGACATGCCGCTCGAGAACCTCATCAGCTGCGACGGACAGGGCGTGGCCAAACCAGCGTTGGCTGCGTACAAGCCAACCCTAGCTCGGTTCGCACCGGATGATATCAAGTGGTTTGCTGCTGCTCACATGTGGGACGTATCTGCTGCAGTCAAGGTTGGCTTCCGGGGTGCTTACTGCACCATCTATGAGCAGGATCCTTGCTCTGAGATCTTCGACACCAAGATGGAGGTTAAAGCCGATACACTACCGGATATGGCAAAGGGTATTGTGAAAGCATCGCTTTAGTTTTTAACTTTCTCAAAAAAGCTCAATTAATCTTGTTTTAATAAATTCGCTTGCTCTGCCTAGTTTCCTCCATGGGGTCCTGTAATAAATCGTCCAAGTATTTCCGTCTCTGACTGGGTAAGCCATCCATCAGTCGGAGAGAGATTTTCAGTACCAAAGACGGGTAGTTGAAGTAGAGGATCAGCCATAGCGTCATAAGCACTGAAAAAGTCCATGCTGGACAGAGCCTGGAAGTCAACGGGCCAGCCAGACACGGAGTCTATCTCCGCTTGACCACCTGAGGCATTTGGAGCCGCTGGCGTAGTGGCATCGAGCCCATTCTTGCCTGCCAAGGTGGCTCCCCAGCTGCGGAATGCTTCGTATGCCGAATCGGAATATGCTTGGTCTTGGCTACTGCCCATATCGTTCGGTCGTGTTCCAGCGTGCAGACGCGCGAGAGCACGTTCAAGCGACTCGATCAAGGCAATTTCAGAGCGCGCCGACTCTCCAACAGCAGACATTTCCCGTATCATATCCAGTCCATCACATAAAGACTTGCGGAATTGGTCAGAGAGATTGCGGATCGAGTAAGCAATCAGCACCAACAGCGATGCTCGACACGCACTGTATTCGGAATACGAGGCTCGAGCGAGGCCCATCCCGCTCGACCGTAGCTGCTGACAAATATCGAGGGCTTCCGTTGCCGCTTTGATGCAGTCGCTTATCAGCTCTTCTCGGCTAGTCACGAGTTTCGAGGCACTTCTTTCGTTGGTCCCAGGGCTGCTTTCGGGGACGGACGGGCTTGTCGCAGTATCTTTGGTATCCTTCTTCAATAAAAACGGTCTTCCGACAAACATACGCACTAGGCAGTAATCGAGTCTTAGGTGCATCGCCGAGCGTGACTGTGTCATTGTTGGTTGCTCATTCGCGTCGATTGTATCTGGAGGGAGAGATTGCCACCATGTCGTCAAGTCGTCCTTTTTGGTCACAAGTCGGGATACAATCGTAACTATCTCTCGCTTTCGACAGTTGCGCAAGATGTTGCTATATCAGTGTCAGTTACTCATAGGGAACTGTATTTCATCTCTTGCGTCGAGCTTGGGTCTCAACTTACATTTCATGATACATGTCTTCGAGGAAGTGCATCAACTGTATAGAAACTCTGGTGTATGAAGCTCGTTTGCGCCAGTCATCTGATTGCAAACCGTCCTGATGAATGGGTAGACTGGCATCGATATTTGACCGAGACACTGAGATAGGCCGGCCATGGAAAATAGATATCTTTCTTCTCTCCAGTCAGCATTCGCAGTCTTTAGGTCACAGGAAGCTATGGCTTACCTTTCCAACACGTATGTCGTCCACCAAACGCGATTCCGAGTCTCGATGACGCTTGCGTTAAAGGCGCTGTTACTGCATTTCCGATGCATGCCATTCTGTATCCCCAGCCTAGTAGCCAGGTTGATGTATACAAACCCCAAGCCAGAAGCGTCAATCGGCAGGGAATAGTATCCAAACAACAAACATGCCTGCACACTTTCCAGGGACGAGATCTCGATAATTTCAGGGAGCAGCCGAATTGCTTGTTGATAAAACATGGCGCCTATCTCTTCCTCCAAGAGGCCTGACGTTGCGGTGATCTCAGAAGCATCGGTGTGTTCAAGGTGAGCGTATTGTGTTCCAATAGCAAGGACTGTCAAGAGGATACTGACCGTCACCTCACTACCAGCTTGGGACAGGCCATGAGGGTTCTTGTAAAGCTGGTCTAATTTTCCACACACCCAGTTCTCTTCAATAAAGAAGAGATAGCTCTCTGCGAACTTGAAAAAGACTGTCACCAGGAAGTTTGATATGTTGGGTGGGGGAAACGACGATATGGCTTCCGACAAGTGATTACGCCCAGGACGCAGATGGTGCGCACGTGGAAAAGCATCCGAGTCATCATTTTGACTATTGCCCTCCTGCATATTGTTAGTAATAAGGTATGAATGAGAAGTATTACCTGTTGGTAGTGGAACATACTCGTCGGCTCTCCGGCTCTTGTATCTGGCTCTCGATTAGGCTTTTGATGCGCATGGAGAAGTTCCAGTAAGAGAACTCCCCTGAGAAATCTGCGATGGTTTAGTACCCGTGCTCAGTGCAGGTGAAGTACAAGGTCAACGAACGTGCTGTTGTATCTCCAACTGGCTGCATCGTACACGCCTCATCATCAATCTCCAATGCTTCCAAATTGTCCCCCAGACCTTCCAGGTCCCTCGGACCATCTGATACCGGATTTACACTCTGGTGCTCGGCTTCGAGCCTGTCTGCGATATTGGACAGGTTCTTGGTGTCAAGCGAGACTCCCGGCATGGTGCGCCGTAATATCCGCTCCATGTGTTTCGAACGTTCAATCAGCGAGCTCGTATCTGTTCTCCGACGGTTTTCTCTTCGAGTTGTCAGACATGCTCGGCAATCGTTGAAGCTGCTTACCTCGGCACGTAGGCACGAAACTCACGAGGTTTCGGGGCCGGATCTGTGTATCTACATTGTCGTTGAAGATGAGAGCACCTGCGACATGGAAAGCCGCTTTCACACTTCTCTTTCAATCGACGGCATTCATCGCACCTATCGCGTCCGGCATTAGACGATTGGGCATATCCCTGCCAGGCTTGTCATAGAAACTTACGCTCGGGAGACGCGCCTTCGCTGCTCCATAACCACAGGGTCTGTAACCGACGGTCACGTATCGATTTGAGTAGGAAATCACTATGAGATAAGGGGTCTTGGACGAGTATGAATGCATGTTCCCCAATCTTGGCCAGCTGCGGGCTAATCATCGACGTGACTTGCGTGCACCCCGCTTTTCCAGAAGCTATCCCAGAATAGTTAGCCACTGCAGTTTCTTATCATGAGCAAGGTAAGATAAGTTTGAAGTCGGGAGTAAGTTAATTGACCGTGAGAGCTGATGGGATCTCGGCGATATATATCGGGCTGCTATAATTCAATTTACGGTCAACCAAGCCCAGACGATAGTATACATCCATCACCAACTCTGTCTTTGAGAGAATCGCATTTGCAGTCGCTTATAGCTGGGAAGACATTTAACACTATCTATAGCTTTTGAAAGGCAAAGAGTAAGTAGTTTCAAAGTACGAAGATATCTATAGTTACCTACCTGAAGTTACTTAGCGGGTTTTCTTTGTATTAGCTGGACTTATTCTATCAAGATATCATAGGGAATCTTTAGCTATCATTCAATCAATTAACCTGGTTCCACTTGCTATAGTGGGCCTTGAACTCTAAATACTACCTACCCCTCGCAAACTGCGTCTTGGCGGCAGGTTTGCTTTGTGGGGTTGGCTCAGCAGACCATTTCTAAATACCCTTGATCTGCCAAATACAGGTTCTCGTATGTGGGATAAAGAGGAGAGAATTCATCTGTTTGCTTTCCTATAAGTACTTACTACTACACTATAGAAAGAGCTTCCACAACATCTCATCCAATCAACATCCGATCTACGTCAGAAATTCACTTTTGCACTTTATAAAGACACGATGCTTTCCCATAACCCAGAACCTCATCCGATCATTATTGTCGGGGCAGGCCCAGTTGGTCTAATAACGGCGGTAAACTTGGCAAAACTCAATGTGCCAGTGCTGATTTTAGAGAGAAACCACGAAGTCGACCAATCTCCCCGCGCAGCTGTTTATCAGCCTTGTGCACAGGCGGAGCTGCTTGAGTCCGGAACGCTCGACGACGTCCGGAAGGACTCTGTTCTCAATGATGTCATGACTTTCTGGAAGAACAAGGAAAAAGTCGCTTCTATCACCAAGACTCAAGATGCTGATGTATTTCCCGCCGGACTCAATTGCCCTCAACCCAAACTTGCCAAAATCTTGGTCGACCATCTACTCAATAAATACAATGCTGAGATCAAATTCTGCCAGAAGGTCATTCACATCAATTCCGACCCTGGACAAGACACAGTTGAAGTTGTGGCCTTGGACACTAATACAAACCAAGAGATCAGATACGCCTGCAACTGGCTGGTAGGAGCCGACGGCGCTGGATCGGCCGTCCGCAGGCTCTCCGACATCACATTCGACGGCTTCTCTTGGCCCAAGGAAGACTTTGTCGCAACCAACGTACGCTTTGACTTCATGAAGCACGGGTTCTCGACCGCCAACTTTATCATGGACCCTGTGCACTGGTCCGTCGTATGCATTCTAGACGACGCTGGCCTTTGGCGTTGTGCCTTTGGGGTCAAGGCGGGAATGACAAACGATGAGATTCGGACCGAGATCGATGAACACTACAAGCACATTTTCCCAGTCTGGCCTGTCGAATACGAGCTCGTGGAACTAAACAAGTACAAGCCTCATCAGAGATGTGCTTCGACTTTCAAGAAGGGGAGGGTTCTGCTGGCAGGAGATGCAGCTCATGTACGTCTTGATTCTCGAAGACCCTTGAACTATGTTATGCAAGATCATCTGATGTACTAACTACGAAACTGTAGAGCAACAACCCGATTGGAGGACTGGGCCTGACGACAGGCCTTTTGGACGCTGGACCCCTCGGCCGTGCTCTCGGTGCCGTGATCAACGGCCGAGCACCAGAGTCTCTTCTTGACTACTGGGCAAACGCTCGCCGCGACAAGTGGCTCACATTCACCAATGCATTCTCCATCGAGAACAAACGAATGATCCAAATGGGGGGATACAGTCAAGACCCTCTTGGCATATGGGTCGATGACGAAGTCGCCAAAGAACACAACATGGAGAAGTGGGTAAGGACGGCAACTCCGGAAAAGGAACAGGAGGACGCTGAGTTCCATAAGTCGCTTGCAGACCTCCATAACCAGGATATGGTCCATGTGAAGCAATGGAGCATTACTCTTGAGCCTCGGTGGATGGAGGAGTATGAGGATCCAGAGGTTGTAAAGTACAGAATTTCACTTCGGCCAGATAGAACTTGAATATAAGTATGCTGGTCTATCTCTACCAATTGATACCTACATAACTTGATGTTACTAGAAATAAAT